ATTCTGCATATATAATATCCGACCCCTTCACTGCATAAATGCAGGTGGATAACTTTCTATAAGGGAGGCTGACAATGTGGGGTGGAAAAGTATTATTTTGCTTTGGAGGGGTGTGTGGATTCCTGCAGTTTAAATGTAGCACACGGTGCCCTACTAATTGATAATTCCCATCAAAGAAAATACAGATTTTTTTTAAACGCACAGCTCTCAAACAATACTCGGTTTAACTTCAATATTCAGGGAACTAATCATTGTACCCACCTCTCTCCCCAGGAGAAAACCTACAGCATGCTTTCACAACTGGGATGCATAAAATATAATTCCGTGATACAATTAATACCTGTAAAACTAATAAAGCATTTATATACATATAATACACTGGACAAAATACACAGAGGCATTCTTTTTTACTTTAGAGATATGGAGCAGATTTTTTTTTTTACCCAGAATGCCCCACTGCAGTCCACGGTAAGATTTATAGAAATCAAATTTCACTGATGACCCGTGGTGGAGACAGGGGGGATTGACCAATAACAGAAGCATTTGTTTGGTATGCCTGACTCTCCTGATGAACCATGAAATATAGTGAATCCGGTTCCAGACTTTGCATGCTCGAACACATGCAGCTGGATAACAATGTAAGCCTACCAAAGTCAGGCCTATAGCCTAAACGCTTTTTTTAACGTGAAGATATGGAACGGAAGGTGATATATTGAAAGCATGGATAATTGGAACCATTAACATAAACAGTTTAATCATTTACCTCTTGGTCTATTGAGACAGAGTAAACATAAGCTTGCGGGCAAACTTTCTTGTGTTGGAAAGGGTGCAAGTTTTCACACTTTTGTCCCACCTACCAGGGACCCAGTGAAGAAGATGTGTGGAAACGGGTCAGGGGGATGAGGTGTCAGGTTGGGGGGTTTAGGGGAAGGTGAGTGGGAAGGTGTGAAATGTAACACTATTTCCGGTGCAAGTGTGGCTACATGTACGCTGAAAATCGAGCCTCAGCCATCGGTCAGTTTCAGCCGTGCATCCGTGGTGCGGAGAGAGAGAAAGGGTACGGGCATGCCCACGAGAGACAAAGATAATATAGATTATAACAGAAAAACAATTCGGTTGGGTGGAAAATATTGCTGTATAGGCGAGAGCTGTGTGCACGCATTTTGTGCTAAAGGGACTCTTCACTGTCACGAGCATTTCCCAGGTGTTCTGTCCGTAAAGCAGTTATTCCATGAAGTCAGAAAGAGTATTGGAAAGCGATCAAGGCATCCGCGCACAGCTACCAAGCGCTCAGAAAAATGCACGTGGATGTTTCAAAATGACTTTTTTGTTTTGTTTGTGAGGTCCCGCTGAATACTTAGCCCGCGTTTAAAAAATGTCTCACGGTTCACCGACACAAACAAACGCCACGAGAGCGACAAATATTTGCTCAGTGACATCGGCGACGATGAGGTGAAGTGCAGCTCGCCTCGCAATTACCACGTTGTCATCCTGCTGAGACGCAATTTCAGGCTTAACGCAATGAATTGGTGAATGAGTGAATGGAAAATGAAAAAAATGCAACCGCGCAATGGGAGCGCGCCGAGGACACTTGACACTTGAAGAGACTTGCTGCGTTGGCAGTACAATCTGATGATGCTTGGAAAAGAGGGACGAGTGCTCATATGGTACCAACCAGTGACGTAGATCTCGAACATGCAGGCGGTGTAACTGCACTGGGCTCCAAGTGATCGAGGAGCCCAGGCAATGGGCTTCGAAAAGGGGGGATATTGGACATGGGCTCCCATTTCATTCCTCACACCAGGGCCCATGTCAACCCACGCTACACCACTGTTAACAGACCCAATGGGAACGACAAGAAGCGTGCCCCCACTCTTCAATAGCAGTGCCCGCCAACTACTTGGAGTGGCTTGTGAGACTCACATTTAAGTTGAAAAGGTTCCCACTGGAAGTACCTTTAATGCCATCGCACGTTACCACGATTTCCCTTCTGCCCGCTCCTCCAGCACTTGCACAGTCGACACCTAACCTCCAAGGCCAATGTAGTTATTTTTAGGGTGTGGACATGGGTACCCACATGGATAACCCCCTCCCCTCATAGTAATCAGTGCCCATTTACCTCGCCTGGTATGTAGGAGGGCGTGGGTTCGATTCCGACCCTGATGCCTGCTGTATATTTGGAGTTCGCGTGTCTCTCTCCGCGTGGTCGCGTGGATTTTTCTCTGGCTCCTCCTGTTTATCCCCCCACATTACGATCAATGTGCGTTTAGAGTGATTTGGCTGTTATAAACTTCCACATGATGATACGCCACTTCGTTGAGCTCTCATTTGTGGCCAGGTCGTTTCTGAAATAGAGCTATATAGCTCAGTGAGCCTTACCTGGTAAAATGAAAAAATTGTTTTAGTTTAACGAGTTTCGTTTGCCGGCCGAGTTTCCCTTGAAAATAACTTTAAAGCTCAATGGGATTCACTCGGGCAATAAATACACTTCTGATTCTGATGCTTCTGAGTTTCAACAATCGGATTTTGGGGAAATGGTCAACCTTGCGAGGTTAAGCCATGCCGGTTATACAGCGACGTGTGCTGTGTTGTGCATTGCTAATTGGGGTGACCTCACGGCTCCATTGCCTCAATGCCCACAGCTTCAAGTGGCAGAGGCCTTTGCAGTTTCCATGGTTCTCACTGTACTCGCCCTGAGAATGCATCCTTTGGGAGATGAGCAGCATTACAATGGTGGGATGATTTGAACAACAAAACCAGGTGTATGCTATACCACGCTGCCTTAACACCTACACCGATAGCACCTCATATGGGCCTGATATTGTCTGATCTCGGAAGCTAAGCCATGTCGAACCTAAACTAAACTTTTATTCGCAAGGTAAAAGTCCGTTGAGCTATAACATATTTTACAGAGGCGACCTGGCCACACATCATAGCTCATCAAAGTGGATTATCGTGTGGGATTTTTTTGTTGTTATAGTAGCATACATAATCCGAATGCACGTTTCTAAACGTGAAGGGCAAAACCAGAGGACCAGGAGAAAAACGCACGCGGGAGAGAAAATGCACACTCCAAATATCAGGATCGAACCCACGACCTCCTGCGTACCAGGTGAGGGAGATCACATCTCACCACCATTGGTCAGTACTCGGATGGAAGACTGCCTGGGAATATCAGGTGCACTCCCATGTGTATATTTGCACAATGTAATGGTATTAATGATTTATATTAATTGTGGTGACTTAATAATTTGATGCACTGTTTGAATATCCATCTCAATTGTTGCCCTGTAGTTATAAAAGGCTCCCCCTCAACGTTGACTTGTAATCATTTACAACCTTTTGTCAAGCCACTGCTGCCTGAAGACCTCCCCACAACGTGTCGGCCATGGGAGTTGTTTAGCCATACTTCAACAAGCTGGTTCAGTACGGTTTGGTGAAGGGATGCAGGGGTCAGGACCGGTTCAGATGCGTATCAGGCGAGGCGGGGAATATATTGCAGTGCTTGATCCACTGTATCACCACGCCCACCACCAGTGTATGGCTTGGCTTATTTACTTAATATTTCGTGTGTGTATAAATCCAAATTGGATTTCATTTTGCCAAAATTGCATACATACGCTGTAGATGTTTCACCAAATTGCACAAATGGCCAAATCTCCAACATCAAGATATATTGCTTTACATATAAAAAAAAAACATGGTTATGCTAAGCACGCACTTACATATGCACCACAGACGTATATAATAACCATATATGTAAACATATATATTCCTGAAACAATACTGTAATATTATATGAGCCTATACACAGCGCGGAGTGGAGTGGCAGCACGGTGGATAGCATAATGAATATTAAACAGAAAATCTCACAATTTAGCTTGATAGGCAGCCATCGCTAACATGAGTGCCACGTCGTATCCTACCCGGTCCCGATGATGAAACGACCTCCATGCCCGCACTTCATACAAATCCCTCCTGTTCGTGGTATTATGCCCATCGCTGGGGTCTACACTGATTTATGAAGATGAATAACAAACAACAAAAAAGACCAATATGTGGATTGACAAAGGGCCGCACGCATATACACCCCATACACTCCACAAACTGGCTATGAAAAACCTCTATTATGACTATGAGGTGTGTACACCACACACACACACTTTGGCAAATATATCTAATGTACTGTATATACAAATGAATGGGCTGCTTTTATCTCCGAATAATCCTCTATGCATTCCAATCCGGTTCTGGATTTAAGAATTGTTCTGCGCAATGCTTTTGTCCAGTGTCATCAGGAGCAGCAGTGCATTGCCTGTGTAATACTGGGGGAGGGATGGAAAGAGGGGGGCGGGTGCTTGGTGGGGGGAGGGGTGGTCTGGATCGGGAGAAGAGTGATGGGGCGGTGGGAGGTCTAGGGGAGTTGGGACAATGGAATAGGGAGGTGATGGGTTACGTAAAGCGGTGCTAGAGTATTCCTGCATGCACAATGACGGAACTACTTTCACCCAGCTATATCCGTGGTTTTTTTTTTGGGGGGGGGGCAGGGGTGGGGGTGTCTCGGGTAGGAGGGGGGTGGGGAACGCAAAAGGTGATTTTGTTCGTGAGTAGATGTGGAGTGTGAGGTGGGGGTGATGAGGATGGCTGTGTGGAGTGGGGATTGACTGTATAGCGATGGGGGATGAGTGGGGGAAGGGCGAGCCAGGGCTGGATGGGTGGGGGTTGGTGATGATTGCTCAGGATGGAGGGATGATTTTAAGGAGGACGGGAAGGTCCTGGCGTCGTAGATGCAGAGTAGCAGACGGGGGGGGGGATAGAGAAAGAGCGAGAGAAAGGGCGGGTGGGGCAGGGAAGGAGGGAATGATGAGTGTGGGTTGCTCAGGGATGTCGGGAGGCAGGCGATGGAGAGGGGGGATGAGAAGGGGAGGTTGATGTAGGGGGGGGGGGGTAGGAGGGGGTGGGAGGGAGGGAGGAGTGTGTGCGTGCGTACGTGTGGATTTGGAAAGTGGAAGAGGGGGTCTCTCAGCACATGCGCATTGCTTCGTTCTGCACGCCGCTCGGTGCGCTGTTCGCATCAACCTCACATCGCGCCCTGCCGAGTGGATGAGTGCAAGGTTCCGCCGGTTCCTGGGATAGATACGTCCGCTCGTTCATTCCTCCCTCGTTTCTTCGCGGCTTTAATTAATAACACGACGATAGCGCATTTAAACGTACATAGTCAAAAAATCAAACAAACGAAACACACACACACACGCGGCGCCTAGCTTACACACACTCACGTCTGTGTGTGTTAATCATAACAGCAGCAGCAGCAGCGTGCAAAGATAAGAGCGCTGAGGACAAGGAGGGAATCTTCCACATCCACCACCGCTGCAGAAATGGAGGGGTTCCGAATCCTCTCCATGGTCGGTCTCTTGATTTACGGCGTTCAAGGTACGGCTGTTTGTATAATATTACCATAGATGTATAACGCAGCACATGCCCATCAACATGCACAAGTTTTAATCATCGCTGGCGTTCGTATTGAGCGTGCGTACGAATAGATAGCGCGGGCCGCGTATTCTCAAAAGCCTCGTCGGACCAGATTTAATCTGGACAGATGGACGCTGGGTGCACAAAGGATTATGGCATGCAAAGTAGGACTTGGGTATACCTAGCGAGCCCGTTGGCTTAGCGCGCATGTGTTAATATAAGCCATGCATTTCTGTACGACAATAATGAGAGCGCGAACAGCAATGAACCCGATTTGAAAATTTCACATTTGCACTTATGCACACGCGAGATCAAATTACCGCTTCTTAATAAAAACCAAAAAAACCCCGAAAGAATAGTTTAAGTGGAACGAACGCGCCGTATAAAACGCGTTGTTAAAATGAGCATTGCATTGTTAGCGGGATCGGGTTTTTATTTTTTGTGTGGTACGGGCGCTATAGATCGCGGGTGTGAATGTCAGTGCGCGTGTGCGTCCGTGTGTTTATGCGCGTGTGTTAGTGTGCACGTCTGTGCGCGTGTGGGGAGCGGTAGTGTAGCGGTTAGCTGCTGCGTTATGAACCCCGAGACCCAAGTTCGATTCCCGCTCACGGCCGCCTACAGCAGTGACGGTTATCTGCACCCGTCCTGGGCCTCCCCTAGGTTGACTCAGACTTAAATGAGTCCCTGGTGCGGTGTGTAGTAAACCGCCACTGGGGAGACAAAGGCGGCCGGGTGTGGTGTTGGCCCCCCACTCCCTCGTGTGCCGTGCTGGCCTTAATAATAGGTGCTCGCTAACAACACTTGCCCCAACAGCCCATTTAAGGCTATACGGGGGATCTTTGTCTTTGTTTGTGTGTTAGTGCGTGTGTTAGTGTGTGTGTGAGGCGCGTATGTGATTGTCTTTGTGTGCGACTGTGTGTGTGTGCGCGCGCAATCATATGCGCGCGCGTGTGCGTCCGTGTATTATTGTGGGGGGAGCGGTAGCGCAGTGGTTAGCGCGCTGCGCTATGAACCCGGCGAAGCGAGTTCAATTCCCGCTCACGACCAGCAACACCAGTGAACCGGTCATCTGTCCTGGAGCTCCTCTTGGTCGACTCCGCCTCTAATTAGCATCTGGTACGGTGTGTCAACATCGCCACTAGGGAGACAAAGGTGGCCGGGCGGGGCCACCTGACCTTAATACGTGCACGCTTACAGCACTTGCCCCAAAACGTCTGCTCAGGCTATACGGGGGATCTTTGTCTTATCGTATGTGCAGTGTGTTATTTTAAGTGCGTGTCTGGGTGAATGGGTGATTGTGGGGAGAGGTGGCGCCGTGGTTAGCGGACTGCGCTACAAACCCCGGTAATCTGAGTTAAATTCTTCGGCCACGGCTACCAAGCCCTGGGAGTTCCCTAGATCGACTCAGCCTTAAATTAGTACTCATTGCGGTGTACACATCAGCACTGGGGGGAGACAAAGGCGGCGAGGCGTGGTTATGGCCAATAAGTGCTGGACCTTTATATGTGCTTGCTTACAGCAAAAACATGGGGTGGAGGGAGTGCGAATGTGTGTGTGTGTGATTGTGAGTGAATGTGTGGGGAGTGGTAGTGTAGCGGTTAGCGAGCTGCGCTACGAACCCGGCGACCCGAGTTCGATTCCCGCTCACGGTCACCGACAGTAGTGACAATTATCTGAACCGGTCCTGGACCTCCCCTAGGTTGTCTCAGCCTCAAATGAGTATCTGGTGCGGTGTGTACACATCACCACTGGGGAGACAAAGGCGGTCGGGCGTGGTGCTGGCCACCCCACCCCCTCTGGTTGTCGTGGCGGCCTTCATAGGTGCTCGCGAGCAGCAGGCTATACGGGGGCTCTTTGTCTTTGGTTGTGCATGCGTACGATGTGCTGTCATTTTTGTTGTTGTAGGGGTGGTTGGGGGTGACAACAGGGTATTTGGCGGGGGTTGTGGCGGAAAGGGGTTGGACTCCCATCCAAGCCACATCAGTGGTCTTCATGAAATCAATACGCCCAAGCAGCGAGCCTGCAACGGCACACAGTGACGATAATAACAGCCGAAATGAAACCATTCTATTTAAGCGCCCTTCCTCACGAAACTGCACGACTACTGACAGACACACAGACTCGTGCAGTCTGAGCGCACGCGTGTGTGTGTGGGTCTGGAGCGGAGCAACGGGACGACTTATTGGATTTTGTCGACACGTGGACCCTCGCCTTTAATTGAAGATCTGCAACCTCTTGATTGCATGCTTTTGTAGCGGTAGTGGCGGTGATGATGATGATAACAATGCCCTTTGCCTTTTACCCGGGGAAAGCTGCAAGACTCTTTTCTTGGGGAGGGAGGATGCGTGGCTCCACTAAATGTTTGAGGTGTTTGGCCAATTTCCAATAATTAGCGTTCGGCTTCACGAGGGAGGAAACCCTGGCACATAACGGGGGGGGGGGGGAGAGAGAAATAAGCCCGGTGTGTTTCGAGGGGATAACAGTCAACAGCTTCGCACAAGATGCACGTTATACTCACCCACGTTTATTCAACTAACACCCCTTGGCCCGTGTATCACAGGGCGCGTGCCCTGTGGCCCCGTGTCTTTGTATCAAATTCGTTGTCGTTCGTTCGAGGACGCGCATGCGTTTGTCATCGCCACGCTGGTGTTGAATTAAAATCGGATCGTTTCAAATGAGCATTGCTAGCTAGTATCAAGATGGATACACTAGATATAATTAAAAAATATATATAAATCTTATGTTGCTAGTTAAAGGGGCAATAGCAGCAGCGGTGATAACTATTGTAAACCTCACGTTTAAAATATTGTCTGCTTGTGTCGGGTAAACACATTCGATAGCCCCTGTTAAAAATAAAACATTTGCTTGCTTGCGCGCTCTCGCTCTATCTCGCTCTCTGCGTGTGTGTGAAGCGTAAAGGAGAAGGGGGGGAGAGAGAAGGCGGGAAAAGAGGAGTGAGTGGTGGGAGAATGTGGTGGGTGGGTTTACGGTTGTGCCGTTATTTATTTATATGTTTGAAACAGCGACGGGAAAACAATGAACGAACGCATCGAGCGGATGGAGACGCCTTCCCAAATCGGGGCTTTGCCAACGAACGTTCATCGTTCGCGCGCCCATCACGCCGGCAGGCTGTGCAATGTCTCGTTCGCCAACCTTTTTGTCGATCAACGTGTTTACTCGTGAGAGAGCAAAAAGCTAAATATAATAACGCGGTTTAAAACAAACAAAAATTGCACAGCTTCAACTTGATAATTCTAATAACAAAAAAATAATGTTCTTTCTGTCCCGTTTTAATCAGCTTCGAGTGTGTGTGTGTGTCACCCATTGTCATCTTCCAGCCACGACTTTGTTAAGTTCTTCCGTCTAGAATGTAAAGGGGGGGGGGAGGGGGTAGTTTATAAGCAATAAGCTCAGCGTGCTATCAACAGTGAAGATTTATACACCCAATTGAGCTAATGGGCATAATGGGTAAGAGAAGGAAAAAACCCGTAAAAGCTTGTTTTGAGGAAGCTTTAAAGAAAATGGTTAAGCATTGCCCTTTATAGAAAAAAGTGGATTTTTTTCAGATTTTTTTTTCCCTCACAAAATTAACAAGATGCACGTGTCTTCTGTTTCCATTTTAACTCCGTGCATCTAGCCTCGACGATATTCATTATCACATTGCTGCGTACACCTTCTGGAGCAGATCTTGAGACACTGCTGCAGGAAACATGAAACAAAAATGACGTGCGGGGCAGAGGAAAAAAAGCTAACCGTATAAAATCAGTATCACAGAGACAAACATCATCGCATCATTCTGGCTAAAACCGGTGGTGGATTAAAACAAAACGAGTCTCAAGATTTGTCTTCAAGATAGCAGCGACACTCCGTTTGTTACCACCCCCACTCACCGCACACCTCCGACTTGGCACGGTTGGCCACGTACGGTGCGAAAGAAATTCAACGTGCGGGCACGTACATCATTTGGCATGCACGGGGAGTGAGTTTTAACGCGTGTAAGGCGCTCGGAGCGAGCATGCCTCTCCCTCCTGCGTGGGGAGCGGTACCGCACACCTAACAACACCCAACAGAAAAGGTTTCCCGCACCCTCAACCGGGTGAAGGAGCTGGCGGTAGGTAACAAAGCACGATCAGGAGGCTTTTGCCTCATCGGACTCTTATTGTTCAGATGGGGGGCGGCGGCGGCGGCGGGCGGTCTATAGCACTTGGGGGGGGGTTGGGTGTAGTGGGTCAAATTGTGGCGGCGGGGGAGGGGGGGCATTGGGGGTGGGTGAAGGCGGCGTGAGCAGAAAGGGGAGAGGTGGGGTCAGGAACGAGGTGGGTGGAGGGGGAAGGGAGGGCAGCGGCTGTGGTTTATGGCTATAAAAGTTGGATGGCAGGAATACAAAATAGGTGTGGGTGTTGGGAAGGGCTTGACACGCGAGAGGAACAAGACATGCCGCATGCGTCGCCAGTGAGTCATTCTCGGGGTCTCTGGTGATACTTGCGTTAGTACCAGTCAGAGCAAGACGTCGTACATGCCACCTAATTCAACATTTAAATACGTGTATAACATTTTACACTGTAAATGTCATTGTCCTTGCACTGCGCGTGAAGCTGTGCGTGAATTATTTTTTTTTGCGAGGGAAAAATGAAACATCTGTTATTCATAAGAGAGGTACAGGCTGAGGGCATATAATGGGCTTTTACTTGCTTGTACTATGCAAGGGTGGTGTCAGCTTTCCTTGTGCATTAATTTGTCAAAAAAGCCAGAGTTAAACATTACAATTTTTTTTAACAATTAAAGAGTCGAACTACCATGGGTCAGGATTTTTTTTTTGTAATCCTTGATTAATATTTTAAAATTGTCAGTCAGAAATGACTGAGCGTCACAATATATCAGCATCCCTACAAAAAAAATGTTTGACTTTTATTCGTGCACTTTTCCTCTGAGCCTATTGGCATGTTTCCATAGACGTTTTT